CATTAATTATTTATCTTTAAAACGCTAGTTGAAAGGCATGAGTTGAATTCTGGTTGGGATACAGGGTAAATTTCTCGCAAACCATGCAAAAACTCTCAAACCACACTAACCATTCGCATGTTTCGTGAACTTTTACCACTTCTAATAGTCATATTTTACTGTGAAATTATCAGCGTAAACTTGGAGGGAGCTGACTCCGATGACTGCATGATCGTATCGCTCTATACCAAAAAAAGTGTATTTTTTCTTTAGTCATTATTTATTGTTATGAATGTTTTTTCTGGTGACGAAATAAAATCTCTCTCTCCCTGTTGGCCTTCACGTTCATTTCACAGCAGAACCTTAACCTAGAATAAAATTTTGTATACACGCAAGACAAATCATAGAATACCACAGCAAATTAAAACCAAGGGGATAATCCAATATAACTCTACTGGTCGCCTAATTACAATAAGAGATACAGGAGCTAAACTATACCGTCTACAACCCTCATAAGGTATTACACCACCCACATAGAAACAAAGACCATGCATGTGTGGTGTTAAAATTTGGTTCATCGGTTGATTCGTTTGAAAAAGGGAATATTGATAGCAAGCCGGGAAACGTCCGGTTTTCAGTAAATCGTTCAAAGAATATAGCACATTGACGTTGAAAAAGTCGTAAGAATTTATGTCTCACTGCAAATGCCGCCAAATTGCATTTCAAAAAATGTTGAAAGTTTCGGGAAGTGCCCATAGAATTTGGTTTCATCACATATAGTTGCATCATTGATTTAAGTGTATTTCACTATCTGTTGTTCGGAACAGTTCAATTCGATCGTACAACTTTACAATATATGAAAATTTAACTTTACAATCCATTGCGTTTTTATTTGATCTCTGAGGGCGTTCGGTTAATCAGAAGCAAGATCCAGATTATAGGGAGCATAGGAGCAACCTATACTTGCATAAGACAATATTGGGCGACACCCTTCACACAAATAAAACAGCACTGTAATGATGCTAAGTTAACAGGAAATATCAATTCACTGAATAACAAAAATATACAAGTAACACTCGTAATAAATTACGTAAAACAATGGAAGACGGTTTAGATCGCCAATTGATATGCTACCAAAAGTCTTACAAAATTCTACAGATTGTATTACGTAAATACGGAAAATACTTGAAATAGTTTACTCCATCAAGTTTGAACCTTGTTAAGAATCTGGAAGGGATTTTTAGTGTACGTAAAGAAGCCGATATATTGTGGCACATATATATAACTTGCCCCCCGGAAGAGGCTACTATCTTTTCTTAATTAATCGTATTTGCATGCCATGTATACTTGTTGCGATTTCTGGGATTGGACCAGATGAAGATTCGGTTCCGTAGTTTTGGAATTTAGAATATCATGATTGCTCGGTTTGAAATGATTCAGATTATCCGCATATTAGGATATGCTTGATTAAAAAATAAAATGTATTCTAATGACGCATAAAAGATTTCTCTCGTTTTTGGTATACGCATTGTACTAAATTGGACATCTAGATTGATGGCTTTTACTGTAGCCATAAAATAAAACTTTTTTAATTAAAGCTCCTAATTGTTCAATTTTGTGTGTAGAATGGTTTTTGTGTCTCGATATCCTGCTGTTTTATGAGACAGCGCCCTCAACTAACAGCGAAATTGAAGACGGATTTTTAAACACAAGGAAATTGTAACATGACGAGCAGTACTGTAATGAGGATAGTGGCGTGAGGATCGAACAACAAAATAGAGAAAGGTGAATTTCGTTACTTATAGTTATCAATATTTTCGTACTTCTGAATTGATTACTCGAAAAAAGCTTTCTTGGCACAAAAGAATGAAAGCACGAGAAAGACAAATAAAGGAGTGAATCCGTGATGCAAATTTTTTGATTGAATAGCGGCAGTATGAAATACTAAAAATAAAATTGTTAAGAATATAAGTTTTATTGTAGGAGGCCCGCGACAGATTAAAAATGCTAATCTCGGCATTGTAAATCGCAAAATTCCGTGTGCCGTATAGTCACTAAAATCGAAACACAGTCAATTTTGCGCGAGATTTTCCTTTTTATTCATTACTTTGAATTGCCATCGAAAATTTTCGTGTTAACTTTATACAAGGTTGGAAACGCGACTTTTTCCCGAGTTGTGATGATTATAACATGATAAATTAAGGTATATTCAATGCAGTAAATTTTACTCCGAGAGATTTTATATCAGACTTCGAGATTTTTCTATCGGTTTTATCTCAAAAATAATCTAAGTGTTAACATTGCGATAGAGTGGAGTCAGTGTTGCAAGTACAGCTCAGATTCGTCGAATTCGCAAAATGGCAAAATTACTCAAAACTAGATATAATCGGGCAGTTTACACACATTTTTGCGCCCGCAGATTGCCGTGATATTTTAGAATAGAGATGCTTTTATTTTGACGACGCAACCGCAGGTTAAATTGAAGACAATTAAATATACCCATATCGGTCATGGATTAATAACTTTGCAAAACAGAAAAATCATTTTCATCCGCCGAAAAAATCGTTCCGTGGGAATTTCGAGGCGATAAATATGTATTTTTGATTTACTGAAATATCTTATATGCAGGTATTTGTACTCTACCGAATTTTATTGTAGATTTGGAGATTTTCCTAACGTCAATAATGAATTCACAAGATCGCAAAATAAGTATCAAAAATAAATACAAATAGGCATGTTTATCTCATATTTTTATGTCAACAGATTGACGTGGTATTTTAAACGTAGTAATGTATTTAATTGTACGCAAGTAGGCGCAACCGCGAGTAATGTTGGACACACTTACCGTATATTAATTTAGAGGGGAATTTTAGATTCTGGTAGCTGTCATGCATTGAATATTTTACGCGACAGAAAAGTCGGTATACGCTGAAAACGCCGGCGCTTTTAACGGGCGCCGTAATCTCGGCGACTGTTTCAGAAGGAATGGATATTTCGAGAGTATCATCTTTGACGCCGTAGATTTTAGCTAAAAGGAAATCACTAGGATCCTATAAAAGTTTATATAATATTCAAGTTTTCGTTACATGACTGGATTCTCAAACCGATATATAATAAAATCGAGCGAGGCCGGATAGTAATGTATAAATTTAATGAATTTCAAATGGAGATGAGTGAAATAGGCAATTAGCAAATTAACCCGAATACCTTTATTGTCTTTGCTGCTATTCATATTTTATATAATGAGCTAATGTATGATCATTACAGAATCAGAATGTCGTATAATTTAATTGACGTTGGTAACAATCCACTAGACTACGCAGAGGTAGAGCGATTTCTGCAGAACCCAACGAATATTTCTTCTGAACCAGCAGTACGTCCACCTGCAGGAAAAGCTTATTTTTTTAAAGGAAAAACTTCGAAGCACAGGCTTGATTTTTCTTCAGATCAGCAGTAAAACAGGAATTGTGAAACGATACTATCAAATTAAACTAGCTGACGGCCAAGGAAGGGAAGGTGATCCACGATTTCAACGACACCCCTATTGTTGGAAACACGATGACGGGAAAGATAAAACAACACTATTCTTTATCCACTACATTGGCGATCACACAATTTATGTTGATCTCCCACATGGAAATTCGAAGCGAAAAAGAGCATACACACGAACCACTAAAAAAACTATTGAAGAAATCGAAGGACAGTTGAAGTCTGGAAAGACGTCGAAGGAGGCTTATGGCAATCTCCAGGCGAAAAAGAGCATCTTAACCGATCAAGCTCGAATGCCTGTTGATAGACCAAGAGATAGGAAACAGTGCGAAAACGTTCAACGCGGACTAACTTCAAAAGAGACATCGAGTAATGATGAGATTTTTGGTACTTTGGAACTTGCTATTCAAACGGAAAATTTCGTGAGGCATTTCAATATATATCCAAATTTAGTCTTGCACATTGCACACCCTAATATAATAAAAGAAACAAAAGATGTCATCAACCTATCTGCAAAGCGTAAACACTTGAAGCAAATGGTATCATATGACACAACATTTTCAATGGGAGATTTTTATGTCTCTGTTCTAGTCTGCAGAAATATTAAACTGGAGGGCGATCCGATATATCCAGTTGCCTTTATGGTACACGAAAGAAAGTTCATGACTCATCATCGGGAGTTTCTCCGGGATTTACTACCATCCATTGGCCTTTCAAAAACCGACGCAATTCCATTCGTTACCGACAGAGAAAAGGGATTAACAAAACCTCTTAAAACTCATTTCCCACGGTTAAAAAATATATTTTGTACGAACCATATAATTCGAGACGTTGAGGCTTGGGTCAAGAATGCCCATGGTACTGTCGATGATGTAATTGTATATAAAAGAGATGTGGACACTTTGATTAGTTCATCTTCTAAAGAACTTTTTATGGAGCAATACGAAATTTTGTCAAGTACTTGGACAACAGAATTCAAGACGTATTTTGACAAATACCTTTTGCATGACTTGCTAAATCATACATGCCATTTTTTAACGCGCAATTTTTCAGCGTTTGCTCATGAAGATGCAACAAACAACATTAGCGAAAGCATGAATTTTGTATTGGAGTCCGCATTAAAATTTCGAGAATTACCGTTAGATATATTGATCATGACATTTAAAAACGTTCAAGATATTTATGATTACGATTTCAATAGAGCCCTCACTGGATTTGGCGATTACCACCTAAAGGATGAATTCACTCACATGGCCCGGCATCATACCGAGGTTAAACTTCCAACAATTTTAAACCGTGAAAATTTTCTCGGGGAAATGTTATCCACTCAAGTTAGACCCCAACCGAAGATAGAAAAAGGAAAAAACTACAGGGTGACTCAAAAATCGTTAGCCCGGACATGCGTTGAACGCAATTTGATAGGATTTACAGGAATCATAGAAGTTTCAGCGTTTCTAGTCCCTACGGTCGCTCGGTTAACAGTGTAACATACTTACCGAAACCATCAACATGCTCATGTCCTAGTACCGGCAAATGTTACCACATTTTTGCAGTAGATATGGGGTTGGGAGATGAACATGGAAAAGATGGTGGGACATATATGCTGTCAAAAATGAGGAAAAGAATGCGTGGCCGAGAGGGAAAATCTGGGAGAAAAAAACCGAGAAAGAAAGATTTAGATTACAGCGTGATACCCGCTCCGGATGCTGCAACTCCGCAATGGCGTAAAAAATTAAGTACTCTGATTCACTCGACTCCGGTAAAACACGCCCCTGAAATGGATGGGATAATGAACATTTCAGCAATTTCAGACGACGGGGTAGTCGAGGACATAATAGAACCAAAAACCGAGGAGACCACAATAATTGATGAGTTTCAGGATATTTCAACTCAAAATCCCTCGCAATATTCACATAAAAAGAATGTCATATCTTATCCGTGGGAAGCTCCGGAGTTGGACTTCCTTGCACGTGGTGGGCCGAGAGAAGCTCTTTGTGAATGTCTTGAAAACGGATGTTTTCTTGTGGATGAAGTCATTGAGCGGGCTATAAAATGTATAGTCTCTGATTCCCAAAATACGCAACGATCAATAAGAAAAGTCATGTTCTGTGAATCATTCATATACACCTGCTCCCGGAAAAATACAACCACTCAGATTGCTTCGTTTTTGTGCAACAATGATGCTCTAAATAATGACTTATTTTTGATGCTCGTGAATACGCCAAGTCATTGGCTCCTTGTGCTTGTCGATATACAAATCAAGTCGATTTCAATCATAAACTCTATGCTTGAAATCGTTGGAAGAAACGTAGCTCTTTCAGTCTTCACTAACATTTTTCGAGTTGTTAGAGCAAGTTTTTCAATAGCAAATATTGCATTCGACCCAAAACAATGGAAATTCTACAATTGTATGGATGTTCCTCAGCAAAAAAATGGCTTTGATTGTGAAGTACATGTCGTTTTAAACACATATTGTATTGTGAACGAGCTTCCTTTAGTAACGACCATCCAATCTTCACAATCCAGGGAATGGATACGACGACTGGTAAATGGCGAGCAGCCAGAAGAAGCTACAGTAAAAGAACGTTCGAAAATTCACGAGGCAAAGGCACTGGTTCAAAAATCATGGAACGACGTTTTGTCCGTTAGTGGTTTTGAGGATACTTCATACGCTACCATTTGTGGATATTTTGATCAAACAAGCAAATGGGATACATGTGCAATAGCACAATGCAAAGGAGATAAGGCCGGGGAGGAGCAAGTTTTCTGTGTGTCTTGTCGGCGATGGTACCATAGAACCTGTTTACCTGGTATTTTGGATTTTGATGCATCGTATTTTTGTTGCACAATTCCTCATTTATCTGAATAACTAATTGAACCTTATTTAAAAGTTACGTAAGGTTATCTTTATTGTAAATTTTAATGTTTTGAATCTGGGTGCTATTAAATTTGCGTTATATTTGAATAATGGATGAAGCTTTTTTTATTGTGTGAACAACATTTAATTATAAACATTCATTCTATCTTTCCTAAGATATATTCATGCTAGTCAATAAATTCCAATTCTAGTTTAAATCTGAATATCGTGTGTGTAAACGTTCTGTGTTACTTGTTCGTATCAATTACAAATATAGCTAACAACTTCGTAAATGTTATCATAGCTTACGGTATATACTTCATTTCAAGCTTACAGTGACAAGTTCAATTTTCTTGCCTTATTTTCTTTCACGTTAATCACACTGTCTATATTACACAAATTTTTGAGTAAATAAAATGTATACACTGCAACGAGTAAGTGAATTTAGGGTGCGTTCGGTTTGCTTTCTTGATCGTGCAATATAGTAATTTATACATTTTAGAGGAAGCAGTATCTCTACTATATCCATAGCAGTATCTCTTATTATTTTGACAATTACATAACGAGATATCAAATCTGCCCCATAAACAGAACATAAAATAATACGATCGGGAGATTGATTGCAATGCTCAGTTGGTATTCAATTTATGAAAACATTTATCGCTACAATATTTTATTATTCCCAGGATATCATTATGAAGGGCTCGAATAAAAATTCTCTAATATTTTCGCGCAATACATTCTATGGAATTTATTATTGATTGACATTTCGCATTGCCAACCCGCAAAACCCACGTGCTTTTATTCTTTTGCGCCAAGAAAGCTTTTTTCGAGTAATCAATTCAGAATAATGACAATATTGATGACTATAGGTAACAAAATTTGACTTTCTCTATATTGCTGTTTGATCCCACGCAACTATCCTCATTACAGTACTGCTCTATCTGTTACAATTTCGATGTGTTCAAAAATCTTTTACTTTTGACAATGATTTTTAAACTTAAAATTTGATATAACATACAAAGATATATCTCAAACTTTTTGAAAATCTGTCTTCAATTTCGCTGTTATTTGAGGGCGCCGTCTCATAAAACAGCAGGATAGCGAGACACAAAAACGATTCTACTCGCAGATTTATTTTCCGTTTTTCAGGTCGTTTCGTGATGATCAATTCAATGGCTAGCTTAGAATAAGATAAGATTTATATACTTATCCCGGGGGATAGGAAAGCCGATAAGACGGCTTTATCATATGGCGAACCACGGCCTCTCGTCCGGATACCAGTCCAGGTCGGGTATGGGATTAGTTAGCCAGTTATTTGTTTTCGGAAGCATATACTTGATGGTGGAGGAAGCCGTAACCGACCAGCGGTTACATGAACCACCTTACGGGGGCGAGAAGTCCAACAATCCTGTCGCACATGATCATCCCCGCATAGGATTCGAACCTGCGATCCGACGAAGGGTAATCAGAGATGCGGTGACGATCGTATTCCTAACGCTTAGCACGATGCGTCACATCGCCGTAGGCTTATTGAATATAAATGGTGTCTACATCAACAAAATTCGCTGCTGTCTCATCCACCATAAAGTTGAATTGACATCAATTGCGTGATAATAATTAAATGAAGAAATGATCTTGTAAAATAATAATCCTAATTCCGTTATCCTTGCAGAAGTCAATATCTAAAAATTAAAAAAACCTTACTTATATGACCTTGGTAACCAATATATTCGTATACCCTATCGCCCTACTTAAATATAACAGGAGAGCTAAGCTCAAATATATGGACACGTCACAAGGTGTCGCTATTTTTCATTCTGACACATAAAAAACGAATCTCTTGAAGTCCACAGAAATTTTCGAAATAAGTAAAAGTGATGATAGCCTTCTGGCGATAAAATTAATCTTTAACCACTGAAAATTTCAAAACAATTAGTCAAGTAATCGAAGAGAAAAGCGATTTTATCATGACCAAGCAAAAGAAAAATAATAATGATAATAACATAATATTGAAACGATCGTTATGTCCACTAAAGTGTCCAATAATCAGCTTGGCAATATATTTTTTACTGTTTATCTTTACTGTTTACTCCTATTTATAGAATCGATCAATTCGGCAGTGGAAAACAATATAAATTTTTATATGGTGTGGCCAGTGATTTTTATTTATTCATATATTTTTTTAACTACCAGTATGTAATTTATCATGTTCTTCTTACTTTAAACTTCTGTATGTTGTGTGTGAGCGTGTGTGAAATATTCTAGGTGAGTGAACACGTACCACTTCTTCTTGCAAAACCCTCCATCTTATATTCTGTACGTTTTCAACCTATCTAAGATTCTGTTTGCTCTCCTGATATCATAATCAGTTTTTATTTATTTATGGAGTCGAAATAAACTTATACTTATTAATCGTGATAGATGAAACACGCGCTACATAGCTTGGACAATTTCGAAAGCGCAGCCTGCCATATCTTAGCAGGCTACATATGAATTGATTTTATAAGATGCTTTTCTTGCTGTTGTGGAAATAAAAACGATTTCCACAGACATCTTATGCTGTACATAGATTTCTTGTTCTTCCCGAATCTCGCATTTTATTGTAATGTCCTGTATGAAAACACCTAAATATAAACTTCCTGTTTTACAGCGATTTTCTCAATCTTCCCGCCTTTTCCGTTCTTCTCACCATTTTCAATACTTACGTATTAAGTTTCAATTGTCTATATAAAACACCTGAATACATATTTTCCGCATTCCCACGATATTCTTACTCTTCCCGTCTTTTCCGCAATTTTCCGCTCTTCCCGTCATTTTCAAGATTTACGTATTTCGTTGCAAATTTCTATATAAAACACCTAAATACTTATTTTCCGCATTCCCGAGATATTCTTACTCTTCCCGCCTTTTCCGCTCTTCCCGCCATTTTCAATACTTACGTATTTTGTTGCAATTTTTTATATAAAACACCTAAATACTTATTTTCCGCATTCCCGAGATATTCTTACTCTTCCCGCCATTTCCGCTCTTCCCGCCATTTTCAATACTTACATATTTTGTTGCAATTTTCTATATAAAACAGCTAAACACATATTATTTATTTTTTACGCGATGATCTTACTCTTCCGACTCTCCCCGTCATTTGTCAATACGTTCGCTTTTCATTGCCGTCGTCGCCATCAATTACCGTTGTTCGCGTCATCGCCGCTTATTTAGAGAATTTCCCTTATACCCACCCGATTTTCAGTAAAATATCACATAGTTCCTACTCATGAGTAATATTTTACGTAATTTCCGCTTTTTAATACAATTTCTTGTACCTACACATTCAAGTGTATATTTCCCGTTGCTCTCGCCTTCTAGTACAATTTCCCGTACATACACAATAAAATGCCCATTTCCCCCATCTTAGAGCAGTAAAATTTCCCCTACATACACTCTAAAATGCATATTTTCCCTACCTTAGAGCAATTTCCCCTAGCCACTTTCAAATTGCGGGAACTACGGGAAATTTCACAATAAGCGGGAATGACGGGAAGTTGCTTTAATGTACGGGAAATATGTATTTTAGAGTATGTGTGGGGTAAATATGCAATGAAAGGCGGAGGCAACGGAAAGTTTATACTTGAGTGTGCATGTACGGGACAATTACACTAAAATACATATTTCCTGTATCTTAAAGTTCATTTCCCGTCATTCCCGCTTTTTGTAACATTTTCCCGCTTATTAGTAAAATTTCCCGTCATTTCCCTTTCCCGCATTTTAGGGCCCTAAAATGCGGGAACTGCGGGAACGACGGGAAATGCACTAAAAAGTGGGAACTGCGGGAACGACGGGAATTTGTCAATTTGAAATTGCGGGAACTACGGGAAATTTCACAAAAGACGGGAATGACGGGAATTTGCTTTAGGGTATGGGAAATATGTATTTTAGATTATGTGTGGGGTAAATATGCATTGGATAGCAAAAGCAACGGCAAGTTTATACTGCGCTCCCGAAGTATGTGCAACAAGATGACGCACAACCTGAACATAGTATGTATAACAGGTTCGGGTTCAGGTTGTGCGCACAACCTGAACATAGTATGTATAACAGGTTCGGGTTCAGGTTGTGCGTCATCTTGTTGCACAGATTTCTGGAGTGCCGTTTATACTAGGTTCAGGCTGTGCGTCATCTTGTTGCACATACTTCCGGAGTGCCGTTTATACTTGAGTGTGCATGTACGGGGTAATTGTACTAACATACATATTATCCGAATCCGAATATTATTAGAATCTTTTAGTGAAATTTTCGTGTCCACACAACCCAAGCGTATATTTCCCGTTGCTTCCATTTTCTAGTGCAATTTCTTCTAAACATACTCTGAATTGAGTATTTCCCGTACTTTAACGCGATTTGCCGTCGTTCCCGCATTTTAGATAAATTTTCACGTACATACACCCCCAAGCGTATATTAACCATTGCTTTCGCTTTCTAGAACAATTTCCCCTAAACATACCCCAAAATGAATATTTCCCGTACCTTAAAGCGATTTCCCGTCGTTCCCGCTTTTTGTGAAATTTCCCGCTTTTTAGTTTTTGCAATTTCCCGTCGTTCCCGCATTTTAGAGTTGCCCCTATGTCCCTTCTAAAATCGCGATCGCAATATGCTAGAGCCCGACCGATATATCGGCCAACCGATATATCAGCCCAAACCGCTAATATATATCGGCAATAATCGGCCAAGCGCCGGGCTGCGTGCTTCAATGGCTCTCGCTTCCCTATATTTCTCTCGCTTTCATTTTGGGTTAAAAATGTGTCTCTCATAAAATGATCGGTGGAAAACAACGACTAACATACCGTGGAAAATGATTGGCTATTTCATGCATGGTCATAACTGAAAAGGTATTATCCAGAGTAACATTTAATATAACGTTTCGAGAGAGTACACAATGAGAAAAAAGCAAAATTAGTATCAACAGAAAACGGTAGTTCTATAAATAGAATCAATTTGAATCTGGTGAGTTGTTAATCACAGAAACATGGTACAGGTAGCTCGAAGCGATAATGTATTCGAAGTAGTCCCGAATTTGTGACCTTCCCAAATTCAAGTTTGAACTTCTCGGGTAACAATTTTATCTATATTGATGGTTGTTTATCATTTTGCTGAAAATTAGACAAAAAAAACTTAATCCATTAGAATTGACTAAATAAGGTATTGAGAGTCTCTGTAAACATAGTTATTGAAAATATCAGCAGTATTTCACATGTAACTGCACATACATTATCACAATATTGAAGGATTTTATCATTATTCACTTTAAAATATATCAATTTATAATTTTCCAATGCCCTTATTAACATATGCCCACAGATATATTTAAACACGTCAGATTTACAATTCTTTTTCCTGGAAAAGGCTAGACTGATATTGAAGTCCCAGGAAAAGTTACTGAATAACGTTTGTTCAGGCATCATGAAGTTGTTAAATAAAGTCTTACTGTAATAATAATAGATATCCAAATGAAAATACAGTCTCACTACGAAATCCATGTTTGCCAGATCCCAGTGATCAAAAACGCCAGGTTATAACACAAAAAGCACTATGATTTGCACCCCTTTCAGGCAAACACGTTTAAAACTTTGTTCAAAAACAATTTCAGCTCTTTTCTACCAATTTTAGTATTTTTCTGCCTTGTCAATAACCTAATTCAACAATATTCCTAGAAAAAAGATTGGGCAACAAACAATCTATTGAAACTATCTACCCTTGAAGCAAATTGCGTGTATTTTTCCAGTTTGTCACCTTCACTGCCAAATATGAAAACAAAATTTAATCGCGACAGATAGACAACACACAGATAAAATATAGGATATTTATTGCACAAGATAAGTTTCCATAATAATTTCAGTCCTTATATTTGATATGCAGACTTTGAACATCATCAGACATGATTGAAAGATTCCCGAACATGTTAAAACACTACATTTTGTAGAAATGAGAAAACTGGGATGAAACTTTTTTTTTTCAAAATTTCTTGCGGACGTTTTTGATTTCGTCTGGACTGAATTGTAGTATTGTAGTGACGGCTCCTAGCATTCGCGATTTTGCTGACTGGTTCCGGTTTGTTGTCAGGTATTGGTACATGACATTCTTAAGGTACTCCAGATTCGCATTTTCTCTGGACCTGTAAAAATAGCTCAAAAGATAAAATTTGCTGGTATCAATCATCTATTCTAAATGTTTTAAATCAAGTCGCGTTGGGTCCATAAGAATTGGATTTTAGAAAATATGCCACAACGATCTGATAGAATGCCACATGGTGGTGCGTAAGGCACGAAAAAAAAAAAAATTTGGGAGAAAAAATCATTGAAAATACAAAATCAATTGGTCAATCAATTGTGAACAAAAAATGATTTCCGGCATGGCATACATATTTATTATTTATTTTATGGGACTGTAATGATCAAATCTTAGTTATTAATATTTATCATACTTGCTTCTATCAAAATTCGCAATTTTCTCCTGAAGTTCTGCAATTCCTCTTGAGTTCTTCTCATCTCTGAATATTAATAATCATAGGTTAAAATGAAACCGGCTAGCTTCATTACTATTTAGACTACTTTGTATTTTTCTCATTTGCACTACTGAAGTTGACAGGTTCATAAAATTCTAACTCATGTAAAAACCTTGTACATGCTAGTATCCTACCATTAGGTACACATGCTAACATCCATTAAAGTACATACAAGGAGTAAAGCAAGAACCCAATAGACTGTAAATATAATAGGGTAGTAAGTGTGATACTAACACCCTGAGAATTTATCAACAATACTATTATTAGAAAGCTGACTTAATGAAGAAATACACACTATTCAAGAGTAATAACGTGATTCGAAAAATACACATAGAATGATTGAAATTACAATTTACAAAGGTGGCAAGTTAATTGCATACTTAGTCATGATGGCATCCTGCAATTGCCTTATTTGTAACTCTAATTGTTTTTTATGTCGTCTAAGACCATTTATCAAAACATCCTTTCTTGCCATCTGCTCAGCATAATGGATCATTGTTGTGTCATGCATGGAGCCCTAGAAATAATATCATGTCATATATATGTCGAAACATTTTTTTCTCTGTTGAACAAGGGGAATGTTACAATATTTGCACAAAAATGAAATGAATAATAACTGATCTTCTTCAGGATATTTATTCTTTCACTAAAAAAACTATTGATCCTAAAGTGGGCACCCATTGGACCAAATCTATTAAAAAAGATGATATATAACCTTGTTGCATATCATTATCAATTTTTCCTACAAAAGATCATCACTAATCAATTACATATCAATCTGAGTCAATTTTCTCTATTTCTTATAATCAAATAAAAACAAAAATTGGCCAGGTGATTGATATTGAAAAATATGATACGAAATGAATATAGTAAGATTCTCAATTGAATCTTATTAGATGACATAGTATAGTGTCACAAAAAGCTTTGGCTTGTCAACCAAACGTAAACATCAAACCACGATGGCAGAAATGAGTATTAACGTCATTTATAATTTAATGTACCATTATACTTTTAACCTGATTCACTATTTCGAAGACGGAATCTTGTGTTTCTCTTAATTTATCATGTCCATAGTGAGTATTGTCACTACTAGTAGATGTTTCTTGATTGGGTTCACCAATTCCGCCATATTCCGACTGATACTCTCTAAACATCCAAATATGAATAGTGACAAAAGTGAGAGAAACCCATGTTAATTTAGATGTAATCTGCACCCACCTATGGCAAGCAGTAGAATAGGCTTGTAGACTTTGAATTTCCTTGTCTTTTTCTGCCAATAACATAACTGTTCTTTCCCTCTGTGACCTCATTTCTTGCTCTAAATCGAGTACTCTTGCAGAATAATTTTCTTTTTCCAATTTCAATTCATTTTGATGGGAAAGATGACAACGTAACAATTCTTCACCTTGCTCTTTTATCTAGATTGATATAAATGACATCTAATTTCAATATTTTGAACCAGGGGAGTGCAAACCGCGTCCGTGGGCCAAATGCGGCCCATAAGGAAAAATTTTGTGGCAATCAATAACCATTTTTTTGTGCATTCAACTACTTGACTGCTTAATGATAAATTTGTTTGTTTTGTTACTTCTTCATCAGCACTCAGTGCATCTGCTCCGTTACCAAAAGACGTAGCTATTTGCTCCATTGGGCGATGTGTCTTTCGGCTTTAAATCGAATGTTTGACAAGTATGGTATTGATTGTCATATTATTTATTTTAAATGTACGACCTAGATTTATGTAACACAACTTTGCATTTAAATATGAAAAAGACTGTCAATTTCAAATAATTCCTCACCAATTTATTTTGTTGCTCTTCCAAGCCATCGCAATGTGATCGGAGATGAAAATGCCTCTCTCTAACTTCTTCTAATTCATTTTTTATTTCCTGAAACTGTCGTTGTGTGAACATATTTGCTACATTCTCTCCACTGGTAATGCCAGTTTCCCGCTTTGCTTTCAAGACATTCTGGGCTCGTACCTGATATGCGAAAGGGAAACTTCAAACTTAATTTATGCTTCAGAGAATCGCAAGCAAGGAAACAAAACAATGCATATAGACAAAATTAGGCGCTCATGTAGTATGTGAACCAAGATGGAGGACACCGGAATATAGTATGTGTACCAGGTTAGGGTTAGGCCATAATTTTTATCCAATTTTTCTTATTTTAGTTCTATTATGAGCTTGGAGACTAGCCAAGTGACTACCATAACCTGGTAGACACACTACGTCCCGGTGTCCATCATTTTGGTTCACATACTATGGGAGTACCTAAAATTATTCATTTATTTACCTTATACTTCTCGAATTCATCTTTGACCTGTCTAAGTTCCTGTTGGGACTCCATATATAATCTATTATATTCGTTTTCATCAGATTTTCCTTCTAAATCAAGACATCAACCGAAATATCATATGAAAAGATCGAAAATATCATGTGAAAAAGGCAACACAGTTCAAACTCGCAAAATATTTTCCAGTTAAAAATTGTTATGCCAAAAACTGTTTATTGAACAAAGAAAGCAAAAAAGAATTTAACGTGAGTGAGGCACATAAAATGCACCTCAGTTACTTCGTAGTATAGGTAATTAAGTATCATATTTTATGATAGGAGATAAAGGGTAAAGAAACATTCTAATCAAGAATATCCGAATATAACATACCAAACATAGCAAAAGGGTCATTGCATTTCTCTGCAGCATGTTTTAGCAATCCTTTATATTTACTGATCTGTTCCTTCAAGTACTCAACATCCATATTGTTTTCATCAACCACTGAACCTCCAAAATCTTTGTTTGCCGACACAGCTGCTTGTTTAGCAAGAATGCGGTTTTCTGCCTCAGATTGAGCAATCCTCTCCTTCAGGGACCTAAGGTGTATAGTGGGCCGATTAACCATGGTTCAAACCCAAAATCCTCAACATACGAATACGATGCCACAAAATCAGCATGCCTAAGCGCTACTCATTTGGCAATTGCATAGTAAAAAATTCAAAGAAGCCTTCCCTCAAGGGTTATTATGCATTATCAATTATATCATCATTATTATAGATAGGTGTGTAAAACACAAACATATTGTATTTTTTGCAATTCAATGAATAACCGAATCAGTTAATTCAGAATGTTTCACTGAGGTAATTCTTGTTATGTGTCATTCTAGAATTCGAATTACGTCAAATTTATGCTTGTTTGAACCAAAGCAATATCAGAAATAATCCAGTAGCATGAACCCTAATCACACTTCTACTCTGCAAGTTTCATTATCTTGTACCTGATTAGATCTTGGTCATTAGTTTTGCTCCTTTCATATCCTCCCATTTGATTTGATAATTGAGTGATCCGATTTTCAAGAGATGCAACACGCTCTTCCGCTTCCTTTTCAACCTTTTTTAATCGATTTTCGGTTGATATAAACTGCATTCTTTCACTTTCAAGTTGGATGCGATGGGCTGCCTGTAACCATGATTGTGAAACTACATTATTTAGTAAAGCATAAACAAACCGTTCAAAGCTAGATTCACATAAGATGAAACTTCTACAGAAGTAAGGTCAATGGCGTGGGGTAGAGCTGAAAGCATCCGTGAACATGTCTATCAGACATCTTCTGACCATGCGATGACTACAGATATAATTCAAAGCAAATCTATTCTATTCACATGTACAGGGCCTCGAAACTATGATCCAAAAGCAAACATGGCTGACTAGGTCATTTCTTCTAACTTTGTATATTTGTGATGAAAATCAGGTGGACATTAATTGTACTTTACAGTGATAAGGTCACTGTGCTTAAACTATAACAGACAGAGTGGGCACAAGGCTCTGAGCATGGCGAACCATTTAGAAAAATTGAGGGTACAAAATTGTGGAAGTTAGAGGTTGAACAATATGTTGCGTTTAGGTCTAATTGCAGATATTTCTTTATTTGATGCCAGAACAGCTGCATAAAATAGGTTTCGTTGAAAAACTGTTGTTAAAGAATGAAACCCTAACGTAGCTCTCAATAAAGAATTCGAATAATGAAACAAAGCTTATCCTAATAGTCTAGAAAGGAAAGTTGTAGGCTATGCATTACTTTAATTTCAGCAATTTCCTTCTGCAGTCTCCCAACAATAGGTTGTGGTTTTTTAGCCTCTTCTTTCGCTAATCTGAGTTTGTCATAAGCAGTCTCCAATTCATCCATTAACCTATTCAAATCTTTCTCGTTGCTTTCAGTTTTTTTATTTACTGAGGCTGCTTTTTGTGCCATTTTACGAGCTTCTTGAAGCTGTAAGAATAAAAGGTTTTTGATAAAGGAATTAAGGATATGGGGAAAGCATTGATTTTTTTATGATATCTGATTATGGGATACAGGATAAAGTGAATGCACAGTCAAGAAATATTGCAGCATAGATTCTATTATTGTTGATTATTATATATGTTTATGTTGACTAAATTTTTCAGTATCATATATTTACATCTCCAGAAATTTGTTCGTTTTTTATTCTTTCATCGTTTAATATTTTTTGCAGTTCTCTTAACATAATTGAATTTGTTGATTGTTCTTGTTCTCTCTCATTTTGTTGTAATCTAATCTTCTCTTTCGCCTGAAATATGAATAAATATTTTTACCTTATCGAAAATCTAATTACTGTAATCAGAACATATTGAAAGGCAAATTTAATAATGAATGGCTCATTTTTGCATGGCAATCAATTCTTCCCAAACATTACCATCTTGATGATCCTAAACTACAGTCATCACATAGGACAGGGTGGTCCAAACCCAGGCCAGCTTCCTTATTTGTGGCCCGCATCGCAGTCGGAGAGTAACCAAAAAAATTGTATTTTGTAAGGTTTCGTCATAAAATTAACCAGAATTACATCACTAATGTCACTGAATTGACTAGTCTTATGGCTAGCTGAGGCAACTAGCGAAGTTGAATGATAGTGTGTGTTTTGTATTGCACTGTTTACCTGTTATTGACGCTATTGTGGCCCGCGAACAATGCAAATATACCTTTGTGGCCCTCGAAGCCAACAACCTTGGGCCACCCTGACATAGAATTTCGGTATCCACCACCAGCCTATAGTGCCAATTGTTTGACAAATTTTGAGCATAATTAGTTTGGTTGGCACGTTTATTATTATGTCGCGAAGTTTCCAGACACAAATAACCAGTTGGTATATTATATATATATAATATTTAAAATAGTCAATAATGTAAAAGAACACTTTTAATTAATTAAATTCTTCATATATCACAATTCATAAATAACATTTTTTACCATATTAAATTCCTCTTCCAATTCCTGATTCTTTTTTCTGAGATCTCCCAACTCTTTTCTCATTTCTAATAACTGTGTATCAGTTTCTTGCTGTTGAAACAAGGTCATTTTGACAATCACAAATAGACAACGATCATTTACCAACATGATGTAGCTTTAGTATTTAGATTCTGGTTAGTAAGATTTTACCCAATCAAATGAATGGCAACAATTCAACAAAGCATTGATCTCAAATCCACAGCTTTACACATTATCAGGGTATAGATGAATGATCAAGAGTATTTCTTTTCCCATGCTATGTCAGAAAATTTCGAAAGGGCTACAGACTTTACAGCTAGATTTTGCGTCGCAGCGGTGGTCACTCTGAGGGATCAGTGACTGCATGGTCTCACATGCTAGTTGGCTTCACTCTGGTTTATTTTTGTCACTTCTATTATATAAAATGCCACTATCTAGAGATGTTTATAAATAAATTACTTCATACCTGACAAAATATTCTGAGGCCTGGACATGCAATTTTAGATAAAGAATCTAATTCAAAAATGCCAAGGCTTTTGTATTTTTGTGAAAAAAGGACACAGAACACTAAAATTGACAAAGTTTAGTGTGCGAACAATTATAACAAAATACCAATAATTTATAGAATATTATCTACAATGCAAGATTTCTAAGAGTAATAATTATTCAATTCGTCAATTCATTATTATTCAGTAACTGCCTCCCAAATCCTGTGCATATAGACACAGGAGAATTAAATTAGCACATTTTTAGATTTTAAGAAGATAGATTTCATTGTCATTTTTAGATCTGTAGAGCCAAACCTATGATTGGATAAAAGGCACTACTATCTAAAATCAAAACTAAAACTGATACAGCTTTGAAACCCAGACCATTAGATGGCTGGGAAATAATGACAGAAGATAAAAAAAAATTCATTTCTGAGAAATGAGACATAAGCTAGATTGGTTTTACTGTGGCGATATATTCATTCACACATCCATTCAGCCAACATATTCCTATTCCTTCGATAATTTTGTTTAATTGTATGAAACAACTCACAATGTCAAATGTACAAAGGTTGAAAATATAAACAAAACAAAGAATTTTGGGACTATAGTTTAAGCAAACCTTCAGTTTTCGTTTTTCAGCCTGGTATGTGGCAACTATCTTTGATTTCTCCTCAAGTGACAGTAGACAATGACATTGTTAGTGTTGCAATTTGATGTTTGCAAATTTTTCAATTCTTCAACTGTTGAATCATTTTCACCTTCAGCCTCATCTTGGTGTGACACATCAGATGCAGAATTTTCCTTCTCTAAAGGTATACAGTTTTGAATCAAATTAATATGAATTTACTTTCAACTTCAATAATATGAATTGAATCTGAAACATAATATTATACAGCCATTCTATATGAACCCCATAAATCATAGAAGATAAACTAGTTCAGATATATATCAGAAAATTTATCACATAATATGCCTACAATAGTAATGCAAGTTATATCCCATTCGTTTAATAGTTCAAATGATACCTAATAAGGTAATTGTTCCAGGATATGGATAGGTGCATACAAAACAAAACATGTACAAAGTGTGAGTCCCAACCAACAAAAGTTACAAAAAACCATGTCACATAGGTAATTAAAGGTGAAATGAACTAAATATTCACACAACAATCATCAAACTTTCTCTTCTGGAACATCATCATCTTTCTCCGTGGCATCGTGTTTGGCGCTGATTGATCATCAACACCAAGTGAATTTGTCCTGTTGGCTCCACCAACTAAGGTTCAATTATAGTTTAAAAAATTTTTCTTTCTAGTTTTATTGATATGTAACCCTTTTGGAACATTTAAAGCCGGTGTATAATCTGTTTTTTCTGTTCTTTTTTCTACGACCTTTTTTTCTCCATATGCACACATAATTCAGTGATAACACATTACTTTAAGCAAAATTTTTGGGAGCAAACGAACTACATCAATTTTATTAGTCTAAGACTCGTATGTAACAAGCATACTGTTCATTGGCCAATATGCAACTTCGATTATATCCAAAATTTAACCCTTGAAACCAGCTTGGGTAAGGTCACTGATATGTATTCTAAACTCATCAAGTGAAATTGCAGAATTCTTCCCAAGAAAATAGCGACCAAAATTTCATTTCATTATTTCTTCAATTTAAATCTTAATAACATTTTCATAATATGTTACCTTTGATGCATTTATCATGATCATATACTATTACTGACCCACTGAAATAATGTAGCCTATTTATTGAATGGCCATAACATATATCATTATCCAAACAATAAACCATCAGCTCATTGATTCATTAAGTGAAAAAAATAAAAAATATACACTTGTATTTTACTATTTGAGCTAGCAAATAATTGATTGAACATTTGCTACATACCAACAGTTTGGATCCTAGACTAGGCTTTGACTTTCTTCCAAGACTAGGACTCGCATGACATGATGACAATGCTTTGACACTTGCTTCTAACGCTTCCTTTTCATTTTGCAGACTTTTGTAAGCAGAAACCAAATCTAAAATACAGAAAAGTTAATTTTATTTGTGCAATTTGATATTGCTCATAGCTGTAGCGACAACATACACTTACAGACTTAGGTAAATAAAGAATAGGTTAAAAAAACTCAGATATGATTAATATAGAGTTTCAGGCTAAGATACCATATTTCCAAATATCTGTATATTATGGTATTCCAGCATTCATATCAGCATATAGCATTTTAATCTTCTTCTATTTAGAGCTGCTCAAAAAAAGGAAATCATTGAATACCGTATAGACAACAAACCTCGCATGCGACTCTCATAACGACCAAGTTGTGCTTTCTGTTTTTCTATTGTATCCAACAACTCAGCGTTTTTATTAAATTTAAACATCTTCAGAACTTGCTTCTGAATTTTGTTTCAATAATGTTACAGTAACAGATGGTTTATTTTTTGTCACTAGAAATATAAAATCATATTGATTAAGAAATAGACTAAATGACCACATAATTTTGGGATAAACTAAGGGTTGGCGATTCGACCAAAGACAAATAGTCTAGGACCCTAGGTAATCAGCCAGCGACCACAAAATTATGGTCGTATCGTTCCCTCCAGTCTATACCGAATTGAATATGTGTATATTGTATATATTTTTTCGTATACCATTGTTTGTTTCCTGGTTGACAAAAAAATAAATCTTTCTCTCTCTCTCCTAGCCTATACCGTAAGTCAACAGTCTAACTTCGCTAACGTTACTCCAATTTCGTCTGTAAGTGTAGACTACCTAGGTAAAGCCTACGGCCGGCAACCAACTTGCCTAATGTAAACAAAGTCATGGACGCCATCTTGTGCCATATTTGGGAAACGCGAAACAATGGAGTCTTATGGGAAACTTTCGTCGTGTTGTTGTACCGAATCGAATAAGTCCGCTGTTATAAGGGCTAGAATGAAACCGAAGGGTGGATTTTGAACTTTAAGATATATGCTATCTAAATATATAACGCAATTAAGAATAAAAAACTATCTAATGCGTTAAATTCGACCACAAACACAGCGTAGAATCATTTTTGGTCATTGTTTCAAAGATTTTATAGTGATACGCCAATTTAAGGCTGTAAAATGTCTCCGCAACAATCCTACAATGTCATTTGTTCTTCTAGCGCAGTTTGGAGCTGAGCAGTAGGGCATTATGGAGCTTGACAGTCGAAAAATGTTCACCAGAAGATAGAAACGGCCATTGAAGCGGAGTTGGGTCGGCCGGTAGTTTCGACGAATAAATATAACTTTTCATCTGTGACGTCATAAGGAAGGCCATTGTCAAATGGGTAATTATGACGATTAGAATGGCCAATTTACTTTGGGAGCAACTCGGAACCGGTATACTTGTCTTCAAAGACAATTGAATGTACTATAAATGTAATTTGGCAAACATGAACATATATAAGCATGTACGACTAAGATTGTACTTCAAAACGCGACCTTCAAAATTTGTCTTCCTAAAATATCAGTGGAAATAACAGGTATGTTTCAATAATTATGTGCAAACTTCTCATAAGGCGCCGTGTTAAATTGCCGAGAACAATAGGCACAAGATGGCGTCCATTGTCCGAGCGTTGCCTCGCTCATATTATATATACGCTTTGGGTAAAGCTAGCGGCCACTTCCAGCGGACAGTTACCAATTTTTCCAAATTTGAACCCGCCATGTTCCACGACAGTTGTCGCGAATTCACTTAATTGCGCCTACATGGATGCAAAAAATTAGGCGATTCTCCCTTTTAGAAACTGACGACAGACCTGAAACATAATAAAAAACAAAAATGATTGAAACAACACATTTTTTCCTCGATAAAATGAATTTTTGCTCAGAAACTCATTTCTCGACAAAATCTAAAATTTAACTGAGTTGCAGCGTAATTTATGCAAGAAATAATTTTTTCTCAACCAATTCATTAATACAGTGAAGTTGATGAAGATATATAAAACATATATTAAATTTTAAAACAATTCCACTATGCGGAAAGTTAGGAAATACTCCCCAATTTAAGGAAAATTTTTAAGAAATTATCAATATAACTCAGTTAAAGCGTAATTTATGCTGGAAATAATATTTTCTCATCCAATTCATTAATACAGTGTATTTGGTGGACAAATATAAAATACATATTGAAATTTAAAAAAAGTCCACCGTGCGGAAAGTAGAAAAATTTCCCCCAGTTTAAGAAAAAAATATAGAAAATCTCCAATTTAACTCAGTTAAAGCGTAATTTAGGTAAGAAGGAATTTTTTCTCATCCAATTCATTAATGCAATGTGTTTGGTGGACAAATATAAAATAGATATCAAAATTTAAAAAAAATCCACCGTGCGGAAAGTAGGGAAATTCCCCTCAATTCAATGAAAGTATTTAAGAAATCGTCTATCCAACTCAGTTAAAGCATAATTTCTGCAAGAAAGAATATTTTCTCATCCAATTCAATAATACAATGTATTTGGTGGACAGATATAAAATACATATTAAAATTAAAAAAAAAATCCACCGTGCGGAAAGTAGGGAAATTCCCCCCAATTTGATGAAAATATTTGAGAAATCGTCTATCCAACTCAGTTAAAAAATAATTTATGCAAGAAAGAATATTTCCTCATCCAATTCATTCATACGGTGTATTTGGTGGACAAATATAAAATACATATTGAAATTTAAAAAAAATCCACTTTGCGGAAAGTAGGGAAATTCCCCCCAATTTAATGGAAATATTAAGGAAATCGTCTATCCAACTCAGTTAAAAAATAATTTATGCAAGAAAGAATAATTTCTCATCCAATTCATTAATACAGTGTATTTGGTGGACGAATATAAAATACATATTAAAATTTGAAAAAAATCCACCTTGCGGAAAGTAGAGAAATTCCCCCCAATTTGATGAAAATATTTGAGAAATCGTCTATCCAACTCAGTTAAAAAATAATTTATGCAAGAAAGAATATTTTCTCATCCAATTCATTAATACGGTGTATTTGGTGGACAAATATAAAATACATATTGAAATTTAAAAAAATCCACTTTGCGGAAAGTAGGGAAATTCCCCTCAAGGTAATGAAAATATTTAAGAAATCGTCTATCCAACTCAGTTAAAAAAGAATTTAGGCAAGAAAGAATATTTTCTCATCCAATTCATTAATACAGTGTATTTGGTGGACAAATATAAAATACATATTAAAATTTAAAAAAAATCCACCGTGCGGAAAGTAGGGAAATTTCCCTCAATTGAAGAAAAAAATATAAGAAATCGTCAATTTGACTCAGTTAAAGCGTAATTTAGGTAAGAAGGAGTTTTTTCTCATCCAATTCATTAATGCAGTGTTTTTGTTGGACAAATATAAAATACATATTAAAATTGAAAAAAAATCCACTGTGCGGAAAGTAGGGAAATTCCCCCCAATTGAAAAAAAATATATAAGAAATCGTCAATTTAACTCAATTAAAGCGTAATATAGGTAAGAAGGAATTTTTTTCTCATCCAATTCATTAATGCAGTGTGTTTGGTGGACAAATATAAAATACATATTAAAATTTAAAAAAATCCACCGAGCGGAAAGTAGGGAATTCCCCCTCAATAAAAAATTAATATAAGAAATCGTCAATTTGACTCAGTTAAAGCGTAATTTAGGTAAGAAGGAATTTTTTCTCATCCAATTCATTAATGCAGTGTGTTTGGTGGACAAATATAAAATACATATTAAAAGTTAAAAAAAATCCACCATGCGGAAAGTAGGGAAATTCGGTACTCTCGAAATATGGACACAAAGATGACGCACAACCTGAATATAAAAGGTGTACCAGGATAGGTTCAGATTTAGAATCTAGATTGTACGCTTTTGGGAGCGCAGGGAATAACCCATTTATGCAAAAAATAATTTTTTCTCATCCAATTTATTAATACAGTGTATTTGATGGATATATATAAAATATATATTAGAATTTAAAAAAAATCCACCGTGCGGAAAGTAGGGAAATTCCCCTCAATTGAAGAAAAAAATATAAGAAATCGTTGATTTGACTCAGTTAAAGCGTAATTTAGGTAAGAAGGAGTTTTTTCTCATCCAATTCATTAATGCAGAGTTTTTGTTGGACAAATATAAAAACATATTAAAATTTAAAAAAAATCCACCGTGCGGAAAGTAGGGAAATTCCCCTCAATTGAAGAAAAAAATATAAGAAATGGTCAATTTAACTCAGTTAAAGCGTAATTTAGGTAAGAAGGAAATTTTTCTCATCCAATTCATTAATGCAGTGTGTTTGGTGGACAAATATAAAATAGATATTAAAATTTAAAAAAAATCCACCGTGCGGAAAGTAGGGAAATTCCCTTCAATTTAATGAAAATATTCAAGAAATCGTCTATCCAACTCAGTTAAAGCATAATTTATGCAAGAAAGAATATTTTCTCATCCAATTCATTAATACAGTGTATTTGGTGGACGAATATAAAATACATATTAAAATTTAAAAAAAATCCACTGTGCGGAAAGTAGGGAAATTCCCCCCAATTTGATGAAAATATTTGAGAAATCGTCTATTTAACTCAGTTAAAGCGTAATTTATCCAAGAAAGAATATTTTCTCATCCAGTTCATTAATACAGTGTATTTGATGGTGATATATAAAACGAATATTAAATTTTAAAAATATTCCACCGTGCGGAAAGTTGGAAAATTCCCCTAACTTATGTTAAAATCAACGGAATCGTAAATTTATATAAATTAAAGCGAAATCTTGTCATATTTATTGATCATTCCCATTCGCCTCCATAACTAAATATTTTTGAAGTTTTATCATGTTCTTATTTCATTTTATTGGTTTACACTACAACCTCGTAACACCCCCTCTCACTCCATATAGCACTACCTTCCGTAAAACCTCAGTAGTAACTTATGCTGGTATCTTTGGGTCACCCTCGGTGAACGTGCAGCCTTAACCCAGTACATCAGCAGCCTAAATCAGAATAGTATTGTCAACCTTAACAGATGAGGTGGCGTCATCAAGATTAGTAACGATTTGACACTTATGGCGCTTCATTTGTTATGTCGAATATGTATGTCGCCGAACCGTTTAATGCTGTTGTTAAAAAATAACTCAGAATTTGAAAGACTGTGAAACTGTATTAAAGAGCTAAAGGAAGTATGGCACACCGTACTAAGACGTTGGAAGAAACGACGAAACGATCGATAGCAGCCGCTACGATCACTGTAAACGTATGAAGAAACTTTCAATTCCCAAATGAAGTTTTCACATGAATCAATCAACAAACCTTTTTTTATTCGCCAATCACAAAAAAATGGGAGCAAAAAATATCACGAAAAACTTGTATACAGTAGAAACTCTACGTACGAAGGGCTCTGGATACGAAAAATCCAACAATTCTTTTCCGAAAACTTGCATAGTGATATTTGTTCATTTTAGATTAATTTAATGCAGGGATGTTCAATACAAACCTAATATTTGAATATTGCGACCTTCGAATATCGTTTTTTGGTGTTTTTGAGAATACCGAATATGACGCACATTTCCTAGCGCCGTCAAACTTTCGATCTAAAAAAAAATATTCACAGCTATTCTATTTTTTATCGCAATTGAAATCAGCCGTGCGCGTCGTGGCACTAAATTATGGCCAGCATGAAAGAAATTCAAAAAGCGCAATTACAATTATTACACAATATTCACAATTATTATCGTCTATTCCAATAAATCTGAAAGCAAATTGTGTCGCAATTAATTGTTTTCACCCTCAATTTCGATAGTGACCGAACATAACGGGAATTTTTTTCATTTCTTGCAATTAAGAGTTTATAAAATGACCTTTAAATGTTATTTAATATCTAACGCGGATTTTAACATTATCCCGACGTCGTTGATGACAATATCGTTCACTTTAAGTTGGCGATATCAATAAGCAAAATTAAAATAATAACACCAGACATGAAAGATTAGCGCCGACTCAAATCAAGTAAAAACCGACTTAAAAAATAAAACAAGTTTTCTGGTCTTAATTCTCCATCAGTGGCGGACGGTAATTTGGGAATCAATCATTTGATTATGACGATGGTAAACAAAGGTACATAAGCATACCGTTCTTAGTTTTTATTCGTTATTACTGTGTTCTTCCTTCTTTCCGTATGTTCTTGTTTATTTATTATGCTGTAATCTAATTCTAACATGTAGTTGTTGGATTTTAAGCATTAATATAATTTATACGAAAATGATGTCCGAGTTTTACGTGGACTTAAAACGGATTAGGGCATTTACAGGTAAAACGCCTTATGTAATACCTAGGGTCTTCGGAACGAATTAATTTCGTGGGTAGCGCTTCTACTGTATATTCATGGCTCTGTACTCAATGGACAGGTTAACGGGAAATGGCCATTTGATCTACTTGTTAGTGTCAAGTGGCAAACCTTTGAAACTTATTTTTACATCAAATGCGTTTTAATGCCAACCGGCCTCGTATGCTGGACATTTCCAAAGTACGTCCAATATCTCCGCAATATCTCCGTTGTAGCATCCAGCATGAAACCAGCGTGGACACACATCACAGCCAATCTTTAAAAAAAGTCAAAATAACATGAATATAAAATTATATATTGCATGTTTATTGAACACCTATTAGGTTTCTTACCCATTCTCCTTCTCCCGTCTCCCCACAAAAACTGCAGTACGTCTCCACGCAGTCTGTCAAAAATGTATTTTTTAACTGCGTAATGTTTAGATAATTATCTAAATATCAAATATTCATTTCGTCATACCGGAATTCTGAATCACCCAACTGGCAATTTTCGCCCTTTCATCGATTGGTGAAACAACATGGATGCTTTTAGTTTCCAGCATCATCCAAGCGAACTGCAATCGAATATATGCCAAAAAACCAATAGACAAAATAAGTTGTTTCAAAATAACGCAAAATAGTGTGAAGAAAATCATGAGAATGTTGTTTGGTATATGAAAATAAATTAATCAATTCTTATGGAACAATTTCTTGTGAATAAATTGACAAAGAACATATACTGATGTATGGATAATTAAATTTGTATGACTTCCTATATACCATTATCACGTAAATTCCACAACTGGATCCATCCCTCTGAATGGAATGTTCAGTAACCGTTGGTGTCCAGTTTTCGCATTCTTTTCGTAAACTCATCCAGTTTCTGTGTGTTGTAACGTGTGTAAATTCAGTTTTACTAATATACTTTTCATGTAACTTCATTTTTAAAAATCAATACTTTTCATTCAATTTCAATGTCATTCACAATTGTCAATGTCATTCCAATTGTAAATACAGTTTGTTACTGGTACAATGTGATTATGTAGTTCATATATTATTTGTAAGAACAGGACACGTTTTTACGAAAACAGCCGAATACTTTCAACAAGAGAAATAGAATATTAAAAATAAAGGACTGGATAACTGTAAAGAAGATAATTTTAAAAAATCCACTCCAGGATTTGAAAGCGATCTGGCAACAGTGAAGTAAAGGATTATTGAGTTTCTACTTTAGCTTGTAGTTGAAATGGCTAACGATAAGATGTATTTCAGGAATTGAACTCACTTATAATTTTTACATGCGTGAGTGGTCTCTTCAATTGAACTTCCATACGAATTCAGAAAGTAGAAATTATTTCTCGTTGTGTCAATGAGTTGCAAAGATATTTTGTTCGAATCAAAATGAAGAATCAAATACAAAAAAGCAATATGTAATTTTGCCACAACAATTTTTTATTTATTGAATATTATTAAAATTTCAAAACAAAACTTTATCCTCACCAAAAGAACCCAGTGATTTCCATTTATCCTGCACGCAAAAACAATCACGCTATAGTTTCCTAAATTTAACTGTAAAACAAATGAGATGATATAAGTATGATATTAAAGTGTTGTAGGAAAGATGATTATGGACTTTTTAGATAAAAAAACAATGTCGATTTTTCCAACCCTAATTTTGTTTATACCAATGGTTTTCGATCATAGTTCCGCAAGTATATTCCAGCAGTTTTACATTCAAATCCGAGGTGTTCGGCGTCAAATTGTTTTTTTCATATTTTTGTAACAAAAGTAATCATGAAATCAACTTATACATATCAATTACACCGGGGTTCTCGAGCCTCGGATATATTTATTGGTTGTTTCCTATCCGCCTGAAAATTAAAAACATCAAAGATTGAAAGATTGACTCACATAAGTCATTGAATGGTGATGCATGCTGGTATGTTGGTGAAAAATACAACCAGCAATATAACTATCCATAACGTAAACATCACGGCGATTCTTTGTCATCAGTTGAAAGGAGTAAATAATAGTCTGAAAGTATGTGCCGATCAAAAAATTTGAGAACAGTTACAAACGAATTATAAAAATTATTTAATTGCTTGTGATTGAATAAATTATACTTTTATATCCCATTTGGAATCATGTAGAGGTAGAATTGTTATTGAGTTGTCTGTCGGGAACAGTAGCAGTGAAACGGTCATTTATTCCCTGCGCTCCCAAAAGCGAACAATCTAGATTCTAACTCTGAACCTATCCTGGTACACCTTTTATATTCAGGTTGTGCGTCATCTTTGTGTCTATATTTCGAGAGTACCGAATTTCCCTACTTTCAGCATGGTGGATTTTTTTTAACTTTTAATATGTATTTTATATTTGTCCACCAAACACACTGCATTAATGAACTGGATGAGAAAAAATTCCTTCTTACCTAAATTACGCTCTAACTGAGTCAAATTGACGATTTCTTATATATATTTTTTAATTGAGGGGGAATTCCCTACTTTCCGCACGGTGGATTTTTTTTAAATTTTAATATGTATTTTATATTTGTCCACCAAAAACACTGCATTAATGAATTGGATGAGAAAAAACTCCTTCTTACCTACATTACGCTTTAACTGAGTTAAATAGACGATTTCTCAAATATTTTCATCAAATTGAGGGGAATTTCCCTACTTTCCGCACGGTGGATTTTTTTTAACTTTTAATATGTATTTTATATTTGTCCACCAAACACACTGCATTAATGAACTGGATGAGAAAAAATTCCTTCTTACCTAAATTACGCTTTAACTGAGTCAAATTGACGATTTCTTATATATATTTTTTAATTAAGGGGGAATTCCCTACTTTCCGCACGGTGGATTTTTTTTAAATTTTGATATGTATTTTATATTTGTCCACCAAATACACTGCATTAATGAATTGGATGAGAAAAAATTCCTTCTTACCTAAATTACGCTTTAACTGAGTCAAATTGACCATTTCTTATATTTTTTTCTTCAATTGAGGGGAATTTCCCTACTTTCCGCACGGTGGATTTTTTTTAAATTTTAATATGTTTTTATATTTGTCCAACAAAAACTCTGCATTAATGAATTGGATGGGAAAAAACTCCTTCTTACCTAAATTACGCTTTAACTGAGTCAAATCAACGATTTCTTATATTTTTTTCTTCAATTGAGGGGAATTTCCCTACTTTCCGCACGGTGGATTTTTTTTAAATTCTAAAATATATTTTATATATATCCATCAAATACACTGTATTAATAAATTGGATGAGAAAAAATTATTTTTTGCATAAATGGGTTATTCCCTGCGCTCCCAAAAGCGTACAATCTAGATTCTAAATCTGAACCTATCCTGGTACACCTTTTATATTCAGGTTGTGCGTCATCTTTGTGTCCATATTTCGAGAGTACCGAATTTCCCTACTTTCCGCATGATGGATTTTTTTTAACTTTTAATATGTATTTTATATTTGTCCACCAAACACACTGCATTAATGAATTGGATGAGAAAAAATTCCTTCTTACCTAAATTACGCTTTAACTGAGTCAAATTGACGATTTCTTATATTAATTTTTTATTGAGGGGGAATTCCCTACTTTCCGCTCGGTGGATTTTTTTTAAATTTTAATATGTATTTTATATTTGTCCACCAAACACACTGCATTAATGAATTGGATGAGAAAAAATTCCTTCTTACCTATATTACGCTTTAATTGAGTTAAATTGACGATTTCTTATATATTTTTTTTCAATTGGGGGGAATTTCCCTACTTTCCGCACAGTGGATTTTTTTTAAATTTTTATATGTATTTTATATTTGTCCAACAAAAACACTGCATTAATGAATTGGATGAGAAAAAACTCCTTCTTACCTAAATTACGCTTTAACTGAGTCAAATTGACGATTTCTTATATTTTTTTCTTCAATTGAGGGGAATTTCCCTACTTTCCGCACGGTGGATTTTTTTTAAATTTTAATATGTATTTTATATTTGTCCACCAAATACACTATATTAATGAATTGGATGAGAAAATATTCTTTCTTGCCTAAATTCTTTTTTAACTGAGTTGGATAGACGATTTCTTAAATATTTTCATTAACTTGAGGGGAATTTCCCTACTTTCCGCAAAGTGGATTTTTTTTAAATTTCAATATGTATTTTATATTTGTCCACCAAATACACCGTATTAATGAATTGGATGAGAAAATATTCTTTCTTGCATAAATTATTTTTTAACTGAGTTGGATAGACGATTTCTCAAATATTTTCATCAAATTGGGGGGAATTTCCCTACTTTCCGCACGGTGGATTTTTTTCAAATTTTAATATGTATTTTATATTCGTCCACCAAATACACTGTATTAATGAATTGGATGAGAAAATATTCTTTCTTGCATAAATTATTTTTTAACTGAGTTGGATGGACGATTTCCTTAATATTTCCATTAAATTGGGGGGAATTTCCCTACTTTCCGCAAAGTGGATTTTTTTTAAATTTCAATATGTATTTTATATTTGTCCACCAAATACACCGTATGAATGAATTGGATGAGAAAATATTCTTTCTTGCATAAATTATTTTTTACCTGAGTTGGATAGACGATTTCTCAAATATTTTCATCAAATTGGGGGGAATTTCCCTACTTTCCGCACGGTGGATTTTTTTTTAAATTTTAATATGTATTTCATATCTGTCCACCAAATACATTGTATCAATGAATTGAATGAGAAAATATTCTTTCTTGCATAAATTATGCTTTAACTGAGTTGGATAGACGATTTCTTAAATATTTTCATTAAATTGAGGGGAATTTCCCTACTTTCCGCACGGTGGATTTTTTTAAAATTTTGATATCTATTTAATATTTGTCCACCAAACACACTGCATCAATGAATTAGATGAGAAAAAATTCCTTCTTACCTAAATTACGCTTTAACTGAGTCAAATTGACAATTTCTTATATTTTTTTCTTCAATTGAGGGGAATTTTCCTACTTTCCGCACGGTGGATTTTTTTCAAATTTTAATATGTATTTTATATTCGTCCAACAAATACACCGTATTGATGAATTGGATGAGAAAATATTTTTTCTTGGATAAATTACGCTTTAACTGAATTAAATAGACGATTTCTCAAATATTTTCATCAAATTGGGGGGAATTTCCCTACTTTCCGCACGGTGGATTTTTTAAAAATTTTAATATGTATTTTATATCTGTCCACCAAATACATTGTATTATTGAATTGAATGAGAAAATATTCTTTCTTGCAGAAATTATGCTTTAACTGAGTTGGATAGACGATTTCTTAAATACTTTCATTGAATTGAGGGGAATTTCCCTACTTTCCGCACGGTGGATTTTTTTTAAATTTTGATATCTATTTTATATTTGTCCACCAAACACATTGCATTAATGAATTGGATGAGAAAAAATTCCTTCTTACCTAAATTACGCTTTAACTGAGTTAAATTGGAGATTTTCTATATTTTTTTCTTAAACTGGGGGGAATTTTTCTACTTTCCGCACGGTGGATTTTTTTTAAATT